ATTCTGCAAGTAATTGAGTGGATTATGATAAAAAATGTATATATATGAATATAATGTTAAATCAGAATATACTGATAATACAGTGATAAATAGTTAGATGACAATAGTTGTTAGAGGCTGTAGGGAGGATAAAATCAGTGGCGCCGATCACCTATATTATCTATATCATAGTAGAAATAATAGGTGGGTGGGTGGTTGGGTATAGAGGAATATTATTTACTAATATGTGAAACTTATAATTTATACTAGTCGTCTTAAGTTGTAATTATTATTTTGAACAGATTTGATATAAATAACATAATAAAATATTATCTGTAAATGGGAATGTAGGTATAGGTTATTATCTATTATTGTCACTTAGCATTGTATTAATATAGCTTAACAGCTATCATTATTATACGATATGTCAGTGGCTTTAGTTAAACATTTATTGCGGTGTATTTTATCAGTGTTTCATTAGCTGGACATGGATTATTATTAATTGGTTATAATATAACCGTTATATTCTTACTTATTTTCATTTAAAACAATTGAAGAAATTATGGAAAATCCATCTCTTGTACCACTTGATGTATTTCAAAAATTTGTGAAACGTATAAGGTATAAGATTTAAATCTTATATGATCCGAATATTTGTACTTTACATTACGTTTTAAAGAAACTCAGGTTAATGTTTTTTAACCATGAAGGGATGAAAAAAATCATGTTTTTACTACATAATATTGTAATGTTTTGAATCAAACAATATTTTCCTTACCAAAAATTTAAAATGTTCAATAATTACCGAGAAAATGAGTGTCTTATCCTTAATGAATCACCCTGTATATGTTAAAGATTACATTTAAAACCACAAAAAACTACATTTTATCAAATATTATAAATTATAAATAAATTATAACATTAAAAATTACGTAATACTTACGACTAGAGATTTACAATAATTAATTTTATCGGCTATTAATGGAAACTCATATATTGGTTGACTAATATTTATTGTTACATTATTTGAGCATAAGAATAAACGGCATACACTAGTTCCTACATTTATAATTTCTTTTAGGACTACCCTATAGGAAGATTTGTCCATAACTAATTTTTTAAAGTGAAACTAAATATAATTTACTTAGAAACTATTAATCAAATTCAATTAAATATTTTTGTTTACTTTTAGCGGTTTAATATCATTCTTAATCAATGATAATCTGTTGTGATTACAGTTAGTACCAACTACTATCCAGCAAACCGGTTACAATGTTGCCAGACTACTAATATTAAATATCTCTGAACTGTAATATTTGAAATATTTTTACTTACTTATTATGGGAATAATACATTATCAAAATTTATTATGAAAAATTAAACCGGACATTATTTATAATGACGCTTTAAGTCAACCACTATAAGGTGACTTTTGTTAAACTTCATATGTACAAAATAGACTCCTTTTAGGTACCCTCTTAGTGTCACATCATATAACTATGAGGCGATAACTACACATAACATCAATCTTTTTTAGATTTAACAATAATTATAAAATAAATAATATCGCAGTAGTAAAAGATGTATCTTGACAACTAGAACTCACAAAAGTTGAGAGTTAAATTAAATTTAAATGATTTGCAATAAAAAATTATACTTAGAGAATATTATATTTTTGTTACTAAACCGAATTTATTGGTTTAATAATATTATAACAAAAATGGTATTTATAAACTCATGAATTATTTACTAAATTGTAAGTTCTTTTATTTAATTTATATTCTAGTTCTATGGAAACATGTGTTTATATTTTAAGAACGCGTAATTCCTTTTTTTCATGGTCGGCATAATGCAGTAATGAAATAATAGGTAATATTAAATTTTTTTTAAATTATATAATTTCTTTATTAATTTTTATTATTTCTCCTATGTACTTTGTTTATTTATGGTTTATTACGCAATAAATTGTTGGAGGTTTGAAAGCTTACCTTAAGTCCTATGTAATGCAATAATATTTCAAGTAATCCAATGTTGATTTTGGTATTAAATGCACTGTGCATACGATTTACACTACACGTCTTATATTCAATATAATACTTACGAAAATTATTCAAATTTTAAATAATATGATTTAATTACACAAAATGTATGACTGTTTTTACTTGTAAAAGATTCTAAACACTCTATATTTTATTAAAAATATAATTTATAATTTGTCCTTATTCAATTTTTTTATGTTTGTTAAATAAGAATATTCTTTTGAGAAAATATATTTTATTGAAAGATTGACACCAACATTTCTTCAATATTCCTCTGGCCAGGTCCAAATAAGATTCAAAAATATTTATATCTATGTAAAAAATTTATCAATTTATAAATTTTAAATTTTTTAAATTTTTTTTACTTAAATCAGCCATATTTTTTAAAAAATTTTTTGTAGATGCATAATGGTTTTACCTATCATTTGATATATTTTTTTTTTTTATAAATCTGACCCTTTATCTGCCAACAGGGGGGGATTGAAACTGAAAACTTTTTCACAAAACATTAAATCGTTCAATTTAACTTTTGAAAGTGTTCCGGAAATACCGACACTTTTATATATATCTTAGAGTAAAGCTTATGTAATATACTTTTTTATGGAAAAAAAAACTTTCGGTTTTTATTTTGTTTTTATGGTGAAAACAGACATTAAAGTTAATAAAAAAATTCCTTGTTATATTTTTAACTTTTTAATGCTATAACTTTTTGAAAAATCAATGGAACATTATAATGTTTTTAAGATTAGTACTTTTTATATTCTTCTTTTATGCGATATACTTTTTTTTTAAATTGAACAATTTCACTTTTTATATTATAAATATATATACATTTATATATTACACTTATAAATCATAAAACTTAATCAGAATATAAATAAATAAGGAAATAGTAGATCATGTAGCTTTTGGAATAATCCACCAATTCTTTTAAAATTGAACACTATCTACAAATTTGCATTTAAGCATTTTTTATGATAGTGATTTTAATCACTGTCAGATATCATTATACTTGATCCAACTATGCCACGTCCTCACTGCTGGTTTTGGTTTTTGGATATTTATTTCCACAATAACAAAAATAAAACATTATTATTTATTGAACAGTTAAAATTAATTTAAAAGATTCACCAAAACAAAGTTCACTTTAAAAGTGTTATTTAGTTTTAAAGAAAAATATTCTAAGTGTAAATTAATTAAAAAGAAGACCAAGTCCTGGAGAGTGAGATCTTGAGTAGAGTGTCGTAGATTTTGTGTATTTTAAAATCGCCGAAAGAACTGGTTTAGATGGGGGAAAATGGCTTTTTATAATCCGAAGAAGGTAGCCCAGTGATCCCTACCGTGATCTTGGAAACTGAAGCTTTCTATTCTGTTTGATTAATTATATTGAGAGCCCTACGTTCAGGCGTTATTTAATAATCTCTACAATAAGTAGATTTTATCCCATAATTAACAGGTTATTTTGTATTTGAAATGAGAGAACCCTATATTGGTGATCTTGTATATTCATAATATGTGACATGCATGTACAAATGATAACATGATATTATAAGTAATAACATAATATTATAAAACATTGCAATTAATTTACTTTTTCTATAAATTTTAATAAGTACAATAGTCTTTTTTTTTTAGTTTTAGTTGCAATTAAGTTACTACAATAGTTGTGAAGGTAATAATGTACAAATAGTCTTAGCGGGTGATAATTGTTATATTTTTAATCAATAGTTAATAGTAAGGTCGCCTAATCACTTATTACAATAATTAAAATATATAAAACGTAGGTTTTTAATTTTGATTCTGTCCTCTATAAGGGTCTCAAAATCCATGTAGATTTAACATAAATAATCGTCCAGAATCTTGAATTGTACTTGTATACAGTTGCCAAATAACTGCCAATGTATTTGATGAGTGTAAATGTTGCAAACGTTAAATTTGGAAAAATAGTAAGATATTTTAATTTAATTAATATTACAAAAAAAACTAGTGGTATTCAAACCGAATGAAACATCCTACGTTTAAAAATCAACCATAAAATTGTAAAAAATAAGTTGAATTTTTTAATTGAAAACGGTTTTATAATTGAACAAGTATAATCAGATATTGCACCAAATTTGTTTAAAAACGATGCAAAATATGGTTTGCTTGACAATGATTTAGTTCGAATTTGAAAAAAGAGTTCAGGTACCATTACACAATTGAAAGTTTGATTTAAGTTCAACCCTAAATACAACATTAAAATAACTTTAAGACATACTCAGGCATAATGGAGTTGCTTGAGGTAATTTTGTAGTAATGAATTATTATCGATAGCTAGTTAAATATTCACAATGTGACTATTTACTATTGTAATATTCTATTTTATATTTTGCGTACACGTATTGTTAATGTGTAATATATCCGTTCAATTAAAATTAAGATTTTGGTTGAATAATATAATCTTAAATAAAATTAAAAATTTTAACACTTAATGAGAATTTATATCTTGAGATTAATAGGTTCACATATAAAATGATGAGAATTTGTTTCCATAATAATTTTTTGTTGAAAAATATTTGCCCAATTTTATTCACGTATGTAAGATTTTATATTATATAAACTAATAACAGTTTTATAAATAGTTATATCATTTTAACTGTAAGACTTATTTTTTAATACATAATAGGAAATTTTATTTTGTTTTTTCTTAAATAGAAGATTTAGTACTTTTATTAAAAATAAAATAATTGCTAAAGTATATTAAATGCAGAAAATATTGTATGTGTTTTATTATGATCAATCATAGTTAATTACAATTAAGTGAAGTTATTTAATTTATTTTTATACTATATATATTCAGATTAATACCAGTAGAAAATGTTAAAATTAGCATATTTTTCATTTTTGTAAGTGTAGTATATTCGATGCCTNCCATATTTTTCATTTTTGTAAGTATAGTATATTCGATGCATTTAATTTTATTGATTAAAATTTAGTACTTGAATTGAGCGGCAACGCATAAGAATGGAGCTCCTCTTCTAAAATTAAAAAATACGTTAATTAAAAAATACTTAGTAAATGAAATGACTACAATTGTTTTTTAGATATTATATAATTTAAAGTAAAAATGTTTAAACTATTTAGAATAGAGTAAACAGTCTGTACAAGTTGAAACGTGTATGCTTCTGTATTTGTATTAATAAAGTTTTTTACTTATTCATTGTTAATTTGTTCATATTAAAAATTCTCTCATTCCCCGTAAATTGGGGAAATCATCCAAAAAATTACAATGTTTATGGGTAAATTTCGACATTTTTTAAACTTAATATGATATACTAGATAAAATATTCACACTTTGGGTATTCTTTTATGCGATTTAATAAAAAACCAAAGTACNTTTAAACTTAATATGATATACTAGATAAAATATTCACACTTTGGGTATTTTTTTATGCGATTTAATAAAAAACCAAAGTAAAGAATGGTTTGAAAATAAAACCAGTCACATATGTTTAAATTATTTTTTTCCTACACAATTTTTGAAAATATCCAGAAACGAATGACGTACATTAAACTTATATAAAATTAAAGATTTTAAAATATACTGTAAGATTAAAAAAAATTGTTTTATTTAATTAAAAAAATTAGATAATAGCCGTCAAAGTAAAAAAATTCACATTTGTTTAAAATAAAAACACTTTATTTAAAGTATTTTTTATTGTTTTAATTAAACATCTCCACATCTAATAATGGTATAGAACTAATTTTTATACCAAAATATGTAGAAAATCGTTTATAAACGTTTATAATATATTTTTATTTAAACAGTTTAAAAATTTTAATTTTAATAAGATCTTAAAAAACTCAAAAGGATCAAAAAATAGGTTAAATATGATATTTTAAATCGAAATTTCACACAGATTATTTTTAACAAATTAAAAATCAAAATGTTTTATACTTTGAACAAATCATTTTTTTTTGTATTTAAATAATTTCTTTGTATGTAAAAACTCGTTTTTTACTAATGAGTAAATATATCAAAAATTAGAGCTGATAAAAAATGTCTAATAGTAGATTTGAAAAAAATTTGATTAGAAAATTATATTTATCTCTGATAAAAATGTCTTTTGAATAAATACACTGGATATTTATTCAAAATTAACAACAAATTATTTTCTGAATAGTTGTAGTTATCTGGTAATTGCATCAATCTCTTCAATTTTGATACACGTTTGCCACAGGTTAACGAAATATAAAACTATTTATATTATTTTTATCATTACACATTACTTTGACACTGTAATATAGGTCATTATTTTGTAAAACTGAAAACAAAGCATTTTTGTAATGTTTGGTTTAACTATGAATTTCTTGATCTATTATTACAAAAATATAATATAGTCTATTATTTGTAAACCTAGAAGTAGAACACTTTTGTAATGTTTGGACTAATTGTAATTCCCCGAATTATTGTTACTAGATCAGGAAGTAAATATTTATAAACCTTTTTGAAAATGATTACTATATGAATTTTATAAAAAGACAAACAAAATATTTTAGTATATAAGATGAAATGGAATGAATTGAAAGGGGAATAAAGAGAAGACCTCGGGAGTACCGAAGATAATCTCTTTCCGCGTGGTACGTTTGTGACTTTAAGTTTTCATTTTGTGTATTATTTATTTATTCTGTTTTAAGTGTATCAATATTTTATGTTTTATTTTGATTGATTATATCTTTATTAACTACATTTTGCGTTATTATTGAACTACTATAACTATAAGTTAGAACAAAAAGATTGTTCTATATATAAATACAACACCACGCTCTTCCACCACTTAATATTTAAATATGTTAATAACTTCTGAAATACTATTTCAAAAGTTGTTATCAATTAATTTTTTAATTTATAAAATATAAAATTATTGGTAGTAATTTATAAAAGACAAGAAGATAAACAAAATATTATTAACCTATTTATGTATCATAGTCTTATAATAATAAATTTATTTTATTTATGGCTATAAAGATTAGGGGCATCACCTATACCCATGGATGTATTACGAACACAACACTGAACGGGTGATTAGACTTTTGCCGAAGAGGATTGGATTAAGGTACTTTTTACACGCGAGGGAAAAATGATAACTTATCTTTTCCATAAGAAGGCTAAGTCATATAATGCATTATATGACTGCCAGGGTATTGCTCCCCACCTATCAGGTCAATCACCATTATCTGGTGTTCAAATTTAATGGAAATTTCTAATATTTTCAAATTTTATTACACAGTAGTTAGTAGGTATACAGAGTGGAACAGATCTATCTGACAAGTCATATAACTTATGTTCTACATAAAATTTTATACTTTGTTTTTTTTAAATCAATTTTTACAATATAGAACTATATTTCAAATATGTTTTATGTTATTTTTTGCATTTACAAAAAATATTTTAAAAATTAATTTTTTTTACTAAATTTTTTTTTAAGATTTGAAGATTTTATAGGTAAATTTTGATACCAATAACTCTTAATTTAATTCAGTATTTACGTTCATACAGCATTTTGAAGTTTGTTAAATTTTAATTTTTTATACAATTTTCCTATGGTATCTAATGTTAGTCCATATTATGTAAAGTACAGAAGTACTTTAAGTAAACACTTATTACATTATTTACTGGTAACAGTACGCTTTTGAATAAGCATTTGTAATTGACATGAAAAAAAAACTAGTAGTATAATTAAGATTATTAAAAAAAATTATAAAAACATTGTTCAAAACATGTTGAATTTTTAATTAAAATAGTTCGTAAATTGAAATGTGAATAATAGTGAATAAGTGCATTAATTATCAAATCTCCTAACAAGGAATATCCTATAATAATATGATTACAATGATAGAATCACACAAATTAATAATTGTTATTACTTCTAACTTGACTAACCATGGAACACTTGTAGTTGACATACGATAATGTTTCTAACTTTTATAATAACGATTAGAGATAATCATTTCTGTATAAAGCACGTTAAACGTTATTATTATCAATGGAAAAAAAATCGCATAATGTTACCAGTAAATAATGTAATGAATGTTTACTTCTGTAATTTACATAATATGCACTAACATTTGATACCATAAGAAAATTGTATGAAAAAATCAAAATTTAACAAATTTCAAAATGCTGTATAAACGTAATTACTGAATTGAAATAAGAGTTTTTGGTATCAACATTTTTCCTTAAAACTTATCTATAAAATAGCTATCTTAAAATTTTAATAAAACATTAATTTTTAAAATAGTTTTTGTAATTGCGAAAAATAACATAAAAGATATTTTAATTATATTTCTATATTGTAAAAATTGATTTAAAAAAAAACCCAGCACAGGGGGGTCGCGGCACAGTGGTGACGTGACATAGTTGGATCAAGTATAATGATATCTGATAGTGATTAAAATCATAACCAAAAAAAAAAAACGCTTCGATGCAAATCTTTATATAGTGTTTAATTTTAAAAAATTGGTGGATTATTCCAAAAGCTACATATTCTGCTAGTTCCTTATTAATATCCTGATAAAGATTAAGTATGTCGAATGAAAGAGAGATTATTAAAAAATATTATTTCTCATAAAAAAATTGTGTTGATCCATACATTTTTCAATAAGTTATAGTATTATAAAGTTAAAAATATGAAAAAGAATTTTTTTACAAAAATCATAATTTTTTATTAATTTTGATGTCTATTTTCACCCCAAAGACAAGTCTGGAGTTCTTTTTTTTTTTTTTTTTCATTTTAAAGTATATTACATAACCTAAATTTAAGATATATATATAAGTGTCAGTATTTCGGAATACTTTCAAAAATTAAGTTGAAAAAGTTCTTATTTTCAATATGCATATTTTAGAATTGAAGCCCCCCCGTATATAGGGAAATAGTCTGATTTAAAAAAGAAGAATGTCGAAAAAAAGATGTATATAAATACTACTTTTCATGAAAAAATTGTATTGATCCATACATTTTTTAAAAAGTTATAGCATTTTAAAGTAAAAATGTTAAATATAAAATCGAGAATTTTAACACAAAAGTAGAATTTGGTAACTATTTTCACCACAAAGATAAGTCCAGAGGTCAAATTATTTTTTCATAATAAAGTACATTACATTAGCTTTAATTTAAGATATACAGGGTGGGCCACCACTCACTGACAACTTAAATAATTTTTGATCCAGTGAATATTTTTAGCTGATTTTTTTTTAAATAATAGTTATACGTTAGGTCTATAGCTATATCTCAATAATTAATTTTTTTATATTTTATTCAAAATATTAATTATTTTTAAATTTTAAATAAAATGTAAAAAAAAAAATCTATGATAGCTATTTTGTAAGGTAGAATTTAAGAAAAATTTTAGTAAAAAGATATCTTATTATTATTCAGTAGTAAATATTCTGTAGCGTTTTGAAGTTTGTAAAAATTTGAATTTTCATGTACTATTTTACAGTATTAAACATTGAAATACGTATTGAGAAAAGGACAGAAGAAACCGCTATCTTTTCATGATTACTATAATTTGGAGGTGTGTAACTTTTTCCATGAAAATGACTTATACTTTTGAATGAGAGTGATAAGTAATAATTGCCTTATCAAATTTCTTATCATGGTATTAATGCCAAGGTTGTAAACTATAGTAATCACAAAAATATAGCATTTTCTTCTGTCCTTTTCTCAATACGTATTTCAATATTTAATACCATAAAATAATATATAAAAATTCAAATTTTTACAAACTTCAAAACGCTACAGAATATTTACTACTGACCTAACGTATAACTATTATTTAAAAAAAAGTCAGCTAAAAATATTAACAGGATCAAAAGTTATTTAAGTTGACAGTGAGTGGGGGCCACCTTGTATATAAAAGCGTCAGACTTTCCAAAAAACTTTAAAAAGTTAAGTTAAAGAGTTAATTTTTTGTAAGCAAGTTGTCATTTTAAATCTTCCTGTGGGCAGGTGGGAAAGGGTCAGATTTATGAAAAAAGAATATCAATGATAGGAAAAGATCAAGCATCTATAAAAAATAATTATATTAGTATGTTCATTTTTGAAAAAGTTATGGCAGTTTTTAGTAAATAAAAATTTGAAAATTTCGAAAATTAGCCATTTTTATATTTGTAATTTTTTTGGAGGTTTCCCCCATTTACGGGGAACGAGCGAAATTTTTTCAATTTTTGAGGGTATTGTTTGCGACTAGATATAATTTGTGATCTTTTGACGTATCATTGAAAGAAATCGTTTCGGTGAGAGCTGAGAAAAAGTGGTCACATCACAAAAAAAAAAAAAAACACATCATAGTAAAACCAATACCTTCTCACCTTCGCATCGAAGCTAAAAAAGACAAAAATTATTTTAAGTATAGATGATATTTGACACTCATTATATTAATGAGTTATTAGTTGGATCAAGTATAATGATATCTGACAGTGATTAAAATCACTATCATAAAAATCGCTCCGATGCAAATTTGTAGATATTGTTTAATATTTATAAATTGGTAGATTTTTCCAAAAGCAAAATTAACTTCTATGTTTTGTTACACTTCCACGGACATTAGCATATAAATGATAGGGCGTCAGGAATTTTTTTTTTTTTACTTATAATACGTAACATTAGCTTTAATTTAAGATATGTTAAAAGGACGCAGTAAAAAATAATTTGAAAAAATTGTTTTTTCGTGAATAAGTTGTTATTTTGAATCCACCCTTGTGGGCAGGTTAAGGGTTAGGTTTTGAAAAAATGTATATCAATAAAAGGGAAATTCCTAAATTTTCTAATTAAAAAAAATTGTTTTTCTTTTGTTTATTTTTAAAAAAATTATGGCAGTTTTAAAAAAACAAAGTTTTTAAAAATGTCGAAAATTTACCGATTTTAAAAATTGTAATTTTTATGGGGATTTCCTCCTTTTAAAGGTACGAGGGAAATTTTTTCAATTTTTAAGAACAATTTCTTCAACTTGATACGATTTGTGTTCTTTTGACGTATGTTTGAAAGAATTTGATCCGGTCAGTGTTATGAAAAGTGGTGACAGACTTAAAAAAAAAACACATCATAGTAAAATTAATACCTTATCATCTTCGCCTCGGATTTTATAATTTAAGATATATGCCTTCTTCATGGTATAGCTTTACTTTTAGACTTTCAAGTAATTTGTAATAGAATTCCACAGCTATGACTCTGAATTCTAAGATAAAATAAACAAAAATATTATTAATTGAAAAAAGTAACTTGATGTCACTTTTTTATTTAATATTGGAATAATTTAACTTAATAAATTAATAAAATAATTTTGTATCAACTATAACCTTTTCGATAATCCCTATAATTTAAAACGATTATCGATAATAATAAAAATAAGTTTATTTATCGGCTATTTTTATTTATTTATTTTTAAAATTATTTATTATGATTATTTTAGCCATATTGCTTTATTTTTTTGGATAACGATTCGAAAATTATTTTACTAATATATCATGTATATCAGATGAAATTTTTATTTTAAAAGTTACTTTAATATAAATAATACATATAATTTTATTAAGTAAATATTAATTTTTTTATATCAAGTTATATTATAAATCCTTATTACAAATTAAGGGGTAATATTTTTAAGTCGTCAAAGTGAAATTAAATAACATTTGATGGCTAATAGGAATCTATTACAAATGGTTACATTTGGTTGACTATAAATAAATTTAGTAAATTAAGATACCATTCGCCATCGCGACGACAGATTAAGCATCAGTCTTGGAGTTATGAAAACTTTTTGAAATATATCACATTTTTAGTCTAAAAGTCTAAAAAATTATACGTAATATTTATTTTACCTGGAAAACTTATATTTTGTGCGTCTGTACAATTTTCAGTTATTATATTAGTAAATATATCTGCCGTTATATTGGAATTAAATCCTTTTACCAATTCCTCAAATTCTTTTTTAGTCATCTTTCCATCTTGGTTGAGATATTCTTTATAAGTAGTTGTTAATTCATCCTCAGTTATTATTACAAATTCTGTCATGATTTTTAAAAATCGTTCCAAAGCCATAAATTCGTCTTTTTGAAGTAAAAATTATGTGAAATCAATTCATTTTTATTTAAAAGTCAAGTGGTAATATCAATAATTTTATTAGTAATAATCACTGACCGACATTTTAATATAACTTAATATAATTAATTTATTATAATATAATAAATAATAATTCATAACAGAAATAGTTTTTTTTTATTACTTGAAAATCTAATAATACTTTCTAAAACGTTTAATTTATTATATTTATTAAACAGTATACATACGAAGTATTAGAAGTTATGGCACATTTTAGTAAAAAAAATTGAAAAAATTTCGAAAATTAGCGATTTTTAAATTTGTAATTTTTTGGAGGTTTCCCCCATTTACTGGAAACTTGGGAATTTTTTTCAATTTTTGAGGGTAATGTCTTCAACTAGATACTATTTGGTATTTTTTGATAAAAAAATGCCAATGCTGCTATTTTGGTTACTAAATACCATAAGCGAACCGACATTTTTTTAAAAACTACTTTAGAAATATCTACATCTATTTTTTCATATTCAATCTTATTTTTTATAAATAGTAAATCTTAATTTGACGCTAACATAGTATTAGGTGAACTAAACCATTGTTTAATATATACACTTATAATTAAAAAAAACAACAAACAAATATTCCTTAATTCTTTGATTGATAACACAAATTAGTCTATAAACAAAAATATTTTTAAACAATAAATTGAGCCAGGAAGTTTAAAATAAATCCCATTCAAATATATCTCACTAAAAAATATTATGACCAGTTCTATAAGTTCCTTATAGACATCTCGAGATTGATATTTATTTGAGGTTATAATTGATCAAAACTAAATAACTTTCTAAAACAACAATATCATCCATTCCACTTGAATAATTTTAGCTTCGATGCGAAGCTGAGAAGGTATTGGGTTTACTATGATGTGTTTTTTTTTTTTTTTTTTTTTTTTTTTTTTTTTTTTTTTTTTTTTCCCCTTTTTTCCCAGCTCCCCCCGAACGGTTTTTTT